AACCTCCAACTCCTGGGCTCAAGTGAGTCTCCTGCCTCAGCCTCCCAAGTCTGGGACCACAGGTGCCCGCCACAACGCCCAGCTATTTTTGATTGTAGCTGTCATTATTGTTTGGTGGGCCCGGGCTGGATTCGAACCCGCCACCTTGGGTGTACCGTGGCTGGCACCTTAGTCACTTGAGCCACAGGTGCCGAGCCATGCAGTTCTCTGCCTTTCCAAGTAACTGAGTGGTGCCGTGTGAGAAAATACAGAATTGAAGTTGTTCTTCCAGTGACAAACCTTTGCTTCATGAATGTCAAGGTAACATTTCATTGCTCTGTTACAGGATCTGTCTGATTTTCACAGTGACTCTTCTTTTCAGTGCTGAGAGTTATGGGGAAGAAACCAAGCATGCTGACTCCAAAGTTTTACTCTCTTGATTTTCAAAACCAGATTATTTGCAACTAAACTCAAGATATGAGTACTAAGGATGCATATGAAGGAAATGATGTGAGAACATGAGCATCTGTGTCCAGGGTCACACCAGCAAAGGCTATGTCTCCTTTCATGACTTCTGCCTGCAGGTCACTAGGAACCAGAACCTCTAGGAACCAAGAAAGGTACACCACTGCAAAGATCTCAGAAAAAAGAGGGTAACTTGCAATCGATGAAATACACTATTAATCTCAACTACAAGAAGGGTCTAAAGGTCGGTCTCAGTTCAGCACGGGGCCTTTCACTTAAAGTTTGTTGTCATTGTCTAAATAATAAGGCTTTTAGAGCCCCCTGGAAATGTCCCTTCTAACTAACAGAACAGTTAAAGTAACGGAAAACGTCATCCAGAGTCAGGCTCACTACAAGCTCGGAGGAGGACACGAGGGCTCCCACAAAGCTAGATAAGGATCCTTGACGAAAAGGAGAGAGGGACCCAAAGCACCAGGCTCCATAGTGGTCAAGTTTTACTCAGTTCAACAAAGACCTATTAAATATTACATTTCAGGAGCCAGAAGCATAAAGACAAAGATTTCTTGAGCTTGAGGCTGCCAAGGTCTTATCTGCCTGGATGTCAAAGAACAGGTATACAGATGATGAAGGGGAGTCCTGGGAAGGAAGCTAGAGGTTCAGAGGCAGAAGGAGGGTGGCCAGCTTCCATGTGGGTCATTCATAAAACCACAGTCACACCAGCCAGGTGCCTGCAGTTACACCTTGTAATCAGTAGTGGAAGAAATAAAATCCAAGAATCACAGATTTGCAAGTCTTTGGAAAGCAGGAAAAAAATTAACATTAAATTGGTTAGGCTTTCTAGAGACAAATTCCCACTGTGCTATGGCTCTGATGTAACAGCAGGCAAAGCTCAGGAACCTGGCAAGGCTACCACCGGTGCAGCAAGGGCACCCACCTGGTCACCGACGCAGAACGCTACAGCTGCCTGAGGACAGGGTGGTTTAGGGCCCGCTCTAGAGTGGTATTACTGTATATTAAGGATGGACAAAAATGGGGTTGACATTTATTCCCTTTTTATCTTTTCTCTTCAAAGTATGCATCATGTTGATTACTCCTAAGGCGCAAAATTAAATTAGTTAAGTGAAAAGGAATAGCTGAAACTGTCTCACAGGCCTTCAGTCAGCCACTGCGACGAGTCTCCAATATTTACT